TTTAAGTTTAATTTAGTTAACTTATTTAAATTTAATTAATTATAACTTACTACTTTATTTACGTTATAGTATTATTATTACTATATATATATATATATATATATATATATATATATATATATATATATATATACACACATTGTCACCAATGAAGTCTATTTCTATACAGTGATAACATGAAAATAGTTTCCATTAAATAAATCTTGCATTTGTAATTTTTTTGTATGATGAAAACCTAATGTTCTACTATTTAGATTTGTACTACAATAGCGTATTTGCGTTTTGCTGCTTCATTGACCTCACCAAGACCTTATTAGTTGACTTACTATTGAAATCATGTTGCACTAAATGAATGGTGTGTGTGTGTTTTTTAAAAAAACATTTTCAATTTGTAATTTTCTTCTCGAAAATTTGGAAGTTTTGGTAACCCTTTTTAAAAATAAAAAGTTCGAAAAAATATATTTTGTAGCCCAACCAAATAAATTTTAGAAGTAGAATTTGATATACGTGTTCTAGTATTTCCCATTTTAAAATGATTTATTGGATTGGTAATAAATAAATGTGATTTTTTTTTTAAATGTATTCTTGTTTCCCTTGTCACTAATGCACACTGTAATCGGCCATGCTACTGAATATACACAATAAAAGAACAAAACGAAGCAATACAACTGTATTCTTTATTATCTTTGTTCTGTTTTATGGTAACATTTTGAACAAGATTGTGCATGTTTTACGAGATGATTAACGCCTTTAATCTTTATTAGTGTGTTTGATTTTTTAGGCTTCAAAAGTATGTTATTAGTGGAGTATTGAAGTAATATTTCGGGAGCACAAATTATCCAATGTTTTTAGCTTATCTGTTTAGATGTACAGATAGTTGTTAACATTTATTTCACTTCATTTGGCAGTAAAACGAGACAATTTTTCGAGTTCATTTTTCTCCTAAAATGGTTTTTTCAGATTATCAAACTGATGACATCAAACATTATTCGTGCTGAAGTATATCTGTATAATTATGTCCAGACATAACAACCATGAGGTGAAAACAGATTTGCGATATTCTTCTGGAAGTTGAACGTAATGGCTAAGGCAGCTGCCTGGTTAATATAGTAGTGTGGTCAAATTCCGCCCGAGCTGGTGTTCATTTCTTTGTAAAAATCCTAAATAACCTCATTGAGTGTGCCACCCTTTAAAATGTTAATAGTTCAACCATCCAAGATCGGCACTACTAATAACAACAAAAGACATTTCGTAAACGGATTGTGGGTATTACAAGCCAATTGCCATAATCCAAAGAGGACTGCTAACTTGTAAAACTTTGGCGTTCGAGAAAAGGTGGTTAGCTAAAGAATACGTTCGGTTAGCAGAATAGTGTGTTCGAATTTCGATAGCTTCCATGGCGGATGTGCTCACCTTTAAAATATCTGTTTTCAGATACACACCAGCACTCAACAAAGTTCCTATGAAAGAAACGTTTTTATATCATGAAACAGTTTAAGCCAACAGCAGAAGTTATTTTTTCAGTTATGTATTTTTATTTGAAATATAGATATTTTTATTTCTCGGTTTAGATTTCTGAGAAATAGGTGAAAAGAGTAAAGTCATTTTCAGCTATGTAACTTGACATTTTTGATGAATTGGTGGGTTAGTGTTTTTTTTTTTTTTAACACTTTCAGTTATCATTTAATAAACCACGCGAGGTTTGACATGGTAAAATATAGGACAAATAATTAGAAAGTACAACTATATTGTATATTACCATTTTTTATTGTCATGGTGATGTTCTAGTTATTTCTTATTCAAAGTAAGCAAACACGTAAATTGTTAGTTCATTATGATATTGCATGGCTATAACATACATAAACACTAAATAAACACAACTTTTGGGCTACTCTTTACCAACAAATAGGAGAATTAACCCACAGGTTATAACGCACCCATGGCTTCTATGTTCGGTGACAGGATTTTATCTTTTGTCGCACAGATTACGAGTTGAGTGCATTAACTACTAGGCCTTTTTTGTACACGAAGAAGAAAGGTCGGACATTTGTAACATCTTGTGCCTTTATTATCAATTACTATTCCTTCTGGTGAAAGGAAGAAAAATGATTTGAAACTTAAACTTCTGAATCAACCTAGTGTGTTATGATATTCTTTTACTCTTGTGTCCTTTATCAGAGTTTTCGAACCAACAATTGAAAGAAATAAACCACCTAGAATTATAGAAAGTGCATGTACTGTCGACGTGTATTTTTAAGTGAGACATAAGACTATATTTCCTTTAACTTGAAAGATAAGATTTTTAATTAAACGATCCATTATGATTTACTAATAATCTCGGTACTCGGTGTGATCCGGGGCACTTTTGGGTAAACATTGTAAGGAACCTGTTGACCTTTATCAACGGATACGGTAAGATCTTGGGAAAGGTAAAAATCTTACTTTATGCGTTCATGTGATATATTTAGGTTCAAAATTGGCGAAAACATTGTTAACGGAAAGGTACTGAACTGATGAATTAATGTAATTTAGCACTCGCTACCAGACCAATATAAGTCGTATTACTTTCAGAGTATGGCATAACTTTACTATCTAGGCTTTTTAAATCACACCTGAATTTAGATTCCTTGATATATCGAACCAATAAGTTTGCGTCAATTCGTATTTTATTTCAGCATACTGTTTTGTGGTTTTAATGAATAATTATATTTAAGTTTAACGTATAATTAACTATGTGGAATTTATAATATATATATATGAGAATGTATATTTAACCATGCTTTTACGTAATAGGTAATAAATGCATTTAATTGTGTAAACTTACATTTAATCAAAAACTATTCGTAGCTATCGAAACGTGAAATATTTTTTTTTCAGAATAGAAGACTATGATATGTAAATTATAACAATGCACTAAATCAGCATTGGTCTTCAATTTCGTTAGTCTTGGTGTTTTTTTAACAAAGCGTTAACAGTTTCAGACTAAAAAAAAAGTCATTTGAAATCCTTAGCGTTCATTTTTATCGAATAAATTGACATGATTCGTGTTCGAGTATACAAATAATTCGAGTGATTTTCTTGAAGTCACCCGGTGGGACTTACAATTCTAAAATCCATGGTTCGGTTCCTCGCGGTGGACACAGTAGATAGCCCAATGTGGCTTTGCGATAAAACAAATCCTCTTTTTAAAGTAAAATGCATACATATATTTGCATTTTTAATGATTAATTCAGATTTTGTTTAAAACAGCAATTATCTAAATAAGACCTTGATTAGTATAAACTGATTCACTTAAAGTGTCTTTTGACTTATTGTTGAAACACTTACGACTTTATATATACGAAATGATTTATTCAATTTTGGATTATGACTGGAATCTTTCGGAGTACAAGTTAAACTACTCAGACTTTTATCTTAAATATAAAAGATTTACTCAGAAGACATTTGAAACATGGTGTAATCGCCCCATTTCAAGCTTTATAATGTGGATTTACTCCAAAGAGGTAAAGATAATATTCTGGACTCTAATATTCTACGGGGAAAAAATCTAGAGGGGCTCCACAAACTTGATTTAGAAATAGCAAAAATATATACTTGAGAAGTATATTTAACTTAATGTTAACACACTAGTCATACATAGTTCACACGATCAGTAATTTTGAAAAAACAGTTCTTCACGAGATGGGAGATAATGACTTCAACAGAAATATTGTTAAGTAGAATTAACATGTTAATGCAAGAGTAATAGACAAATAATTATTTATCGATTGTGCTGACAGGGCATTAATCTATCTTTTACGTGCTTTTCTAAGAAGCACATAGGGATTTTTGTCGGTGGGCCAGTCCACGCCTGGTGGAAAGATTGGTTTACTTGGTTAATTTTTTGAAGTATAAATGCTTTACTCCGTTAACACGTTGTAATATTATAGAATATTTAACTCAAACATAAAAATAACTTCATTCATTTAAAATTTTGCATCTATTAGGAGGTTGAGTTTAAAATGTAGCTCACTGAAAAACTGTTAGCATTTCATATTTGGAAATGAGAGGTATCTTTTAAATGATACAATACCGATACACTTAAACGGTGTCAATATTATTACGTAATTAATAAACTACCTTCCATAAATTGCTGTTTGAAGTAATTATATTTTCTAACGATTGTCATAAAATTAAATTTTTGGGACAATTTTCACATTTTCCGTAAGATGGCAACAGAAAATTCCTCAAAAATATATATGAGAGAGTAGGGTTTTTTCCGCGGTATTTTTTATGCCATTTTATTGCGCTCACAAATTATACTTGAGTAAGTTCAGTAAAGTAGCTATTAATGAATATATATATTTACGTGTTTTTATATCGTAAAAACATGCACGTTTGTACTGAATTTGAAGATACGCACCGTGAGAAGGTGTTTACTCAACGTTGGAATTCACTTGGACTGATAAATGTACTGTGCGTGTGCTTAAACCTTTTCTTTCTGTGCGGCTTTTACTAAATCATTAATCCAAAACATTTTGTCTATAAAATTTTAACCAAGTTATTAATTTTGAACATCTTTTATGAGTGTGTTTGTGACTAAATCATTTTTTTTCTACTTACAAAACTCAAATCTGGGGGCAGATTCCCAGCACACCAACCCCATTGTGTGGCTTTGTGCTAAAACAAAAACTACTCTTAATTTATAGTTTTGATTAAATCGTTAATTTTCCTTTTTTTTTGTTGTTTATGTGGTTCAGCTGAAATGAATATCCAAAACCCTTTCAAATGTGGAGTTCATTAAGTTCCAGATCGTCACTTTACAACTGTGTTTGACAGAATCACGAACGCCAGATCCCTACCTTTATGACCAATTTACAATTGGATAATATACTTTTGTTATTTTTTCTGAACCAGTTACTCCAAAACCGTTCCTTTATATTTCTGTTTGACTAAAATATTAATTCCTAATTTTTATTGGGTCATTTTTTATTTCTAAAAACATCCTGTGATTTTTGTTTTCGACTAAATCACTAATTCTATGTGTTGTTTTGACGAAAATATAAAATTAAAAACCTTTTATTCACACATTGTTCACTACACCGTTCCTTTATATGGGATTTTTTACGCGAATATTAATTCTAAGAACCGTTTTATTTTATGTTGTTGTTTTTTCCAATGGAAAATATTTAAATAAAATGTTTACTTCTTTCACGCTATCGTTTCTGTGTTAGTTACACGTTTAAGGGATTTTGATTTGTTAGTTATAAAGTAACTTTTGCATTTTAAGTGTGTAAGATAATGTCTTCATCACGACCAGTATTCATACTTTTGACCCAAAAAATCAAATTTATCTATCCTAATCTTACGCTCTTTCACTACGATAACGTTTTTCCTAGTGTAGTTTCAAATTTGACTTAGTTTATTAATTTCCTATTGTTATGGCTTCTTTGTATTAATTATGGATGACTTTTTTATTTACTAACATAATCATGCAAATGTATGAGTGATTTACATTAACAATATAAGATCATATCCTTACTAGAGGGATAGCATACTTTTCAGCAGTTTTACATACGAAAGGTCTATAAGTTATAAGACAGTCAATTTAATATATATATTTAATGAAATACTTTTTAAACACTCAGGAACAAGTCTCTTCACTAATGTAATATTGCCTAATTAATTAGACATTTCAATAAAACGCCGTGACTCACTAGAAGTATCCTTTGCTAGTATTGGATCCCATAAGAATAATTCGAATCGAAAGTTGACTCAGATATTTATTTATATTTTTCTTCTATAAGATACATAAGGATAAGTTTACTGGAATAAGAGAGGTATCTGCTGAAGTACGACCCACACACTGGTAGGGATTTATTGTGTATTAAATGCAATCTCTATTCTATAAAAGTTCTTTACACATTAAAACTAACTGTTGTGTGAACTCTGTAAATACACATAAATACCCATACATATATATATATATATAATATCATGTGACATTAATGTAACAGATCTTAAATATTAATATTATTTAATGTTAAACTTAGTACTGATATTTCCATTTGTTGCACAACAAATAATTTAACAAACTTTATCACAGATAGATATATATAGCAAGACGACAAAAAGGCAAGAATGAGTGTGTACAAAGTCCAGGTAATTATGACAAAGTTTTGTGAAGTTCATCTGATTCTCGATCACGCAATCTAGAAAATTATTTTGATATATATAGATAGATTGTGATTAAATAACTTGGTGTGTGGTTTATTGGTTATATATTGAATGTGTTTAGCCTATCAAATGTGTTGATTAAAAACTATCCATCACTTACCGAATGTCTTTTTAGCCCAGTGCTTAATTTCTAGGAAAAAACAAAGGTGCCAGATCCCTGTTGGCTGGTGGGGAATTAAATTTTGAAAGATGACAAATTTAAACGTTACTGAGAATATCGTTTTGAATGAAACTGGAAGGAGTCAGTAAAGTATCAGTCGGCAGTGCAGTTGAGGCAGTATTATAATTTAGTATAGTACTTCCACCTTTAGAGTTATAAAGAAACCCAAACAGGTTCCAGATCTAAGATATGTAGAGATTTAAAAGTAATTAACTACTTTACTGATTAAGCCTAAGAATATTCGTAAATTACTTACTTTCTTGTTCATATTTGTAGCACATTTAGCCCCAACAAAATGTTATTTTGTTATCTTGTGAATAACGTAGTGTATCCGTTTGTTCTGACAAAAAAAGTGTATGTCAATTACAGGCCTTATTGAATATGAAATATTTATTGTTTCGATCAAATATTTGGAAGTGGTTAGACTAAAAAAAATTGAAAGCATTAACTCGTCGGATCACATATTGGGTGTGATTTATCTCGCATAGTGATGAAAGCACATATGCAATATGTGATCCAAAGAGTAAAAACGTCACATCCAATTTAGTGTCACAAAACTGTGAATGTGTTTACTCTTTACATCACGTATTGGGAATGAACGGATGTAGCCTACAGATCATATTGGATGTGACGTTTTTACTCTTTGGATCACGTATTGCATATGGTTAGTGTCACAAAACTGTGAATGTGTTTACTCTTTACATCACGTATTGGGAATGAGCGGATGTAGCCTACAGATCATATTGGACGTGACGTTTTTACTCTTTGGATCACGTATTGCATATGGTTAGTGTCCCCCAAAATAGTAAAATTATTTACTCTTTAGATTACATATTGGTTGTGTGTTTAGATCACCTATTGGGAATGTTTGGTCTTGCAACAACGTGAAAGTCTACATGTCACACCGGGTGTAAAGCATTTGAACTTTGAATCATGTGTTAATCTAATAATATACGAAAAAGGTATAATTTGATCGAAAATATTTATGTTTCATCTGTTGCTGTTTTTTTAAAGTGGTTATAGCTGTTTGAAAATTAAAGAAATGAGATAATTAAATAGATCATCTTTCTACAAAATATAGATATGACCATAAAACCACAGCAGTAATAAGATGTTTAAAAACAAAGATTAGGTTAGGTATAGTGTTTTCCTTACACTACTGCAGACTAGAATGAAAGCTAATTGATGTGCTAAGATATAACAATTGAATATTTATCTCCTGAATGATTCCGATTATGGCAGACCATGATCTTTTTAAGGTCACCCTGGATTGGGGTAGTGTGGTGGTGACCGTGTGAGGATAAATCTACGTGGGTGACCTTAATGATCTGTGGATTATCAGGTATGGCAGTTCTAATCATGTGTCGCCAGAACAAGGTTCTGGCATCTATTGTTGTCCTTTCGCTGTGCTACTGGGCCTGATTTAATTTTGATAGATGAGAGTTCTCGTCCCTACTATGTACGAATCGTCAAAGTAATACCTTGACACAGGAAACTATTGTGAAAATTGATTGTCCACTATTTTATCCGAATCTCAGGGACGGATTTTACGTGTATTTCAGTCACACACTTTATCGGTTGAAAAAGCCTGGTGAGAAAATGTAGAAACGAGGAACTCGCACGTTCTCTTACCAAGACGTTTTTTTTTTTCTGGCCGCTCAGAGCGACAGATTCGCTATTACAGTGGATTTAAATATTCTGAGGACTCTAATTTTGATATCGTTGAGCCACGATGCTATTGCAGACACTTCCAGACTACTAGGAGTGTGATTTGTCACAGGCCCGATATGAAGCGGTTCTATGTTCACAGCTTGGTGGATTATCGTTTGATTTTAAGAAGAGAATAATTCTGACACTCACTAATAGGTAATCGGTTATAATTGTACTTCTTACAAAACAAATTGTTAATTCCTAACTTACAGTATGTTATTATACAGAGTATATGTACCTACATATGATTTTATGAATTAAACGTTGATGGCACATGTATTTCGTGTGGATTGCACGTTGATGAACAGATACAACAAGTATAATGCAAGTTGATGGCACATGTATTTCGTGTGGATTGCACGTTGATGAACAGATACAACAAGTATAATGCAAGTTGATGGCACGTATATTTCGTATGGACAGAATTACTTCATTTGTGTGACACACTGATATTAAGATTACATTGTGTGATTTATACGTTGATGGAACGTGTATTTCAGGTGTATTTGTTCATGTTATGCGTTGTTTTCATGTATTTTAAGTTTGTGACACGTGTACTTTGTAGAGGGTAAACGTTGATAGTAGGGTTATTCACTTAGGGTTGTACGTTAATAATACAAGTACTTAATTTGGCTTCTACTAATGACTTACACATTTTGTGTTAATGAATGGATATTGATATGCGTCCTGTGAAATGCACATAATGACTTATGTATTTCGCGTAGAGAACATTTGTACTGTATATGGATTAAACGTTATAACGTATTGTGTATATATTTCACGTTGTCTTTTGTGCAGTTAGTCTGGATTTCTTAACAATAATAATATACACATTTCAAGTACATTATATTTTTGTGGCATGTCTATTAATTTTAGTTGTTCTGTTTCTGAAAAACAACAACAACTTTGTAATGAATAATCAGATAGATGATACTGCTGGTTAAGATCATATAGTAACAATAAACGTAAAATGTCACAAATCTGCCTCTTCAAGGAGAAGATGTTTGAGAAGTTTACCTATACCATAAAAACTGGAAAGTTCTCTAATCTGAATTATTTAAGCTTTTTTCTTAAATATGTGATGAAGTTTTCGTAACTTACAGTTTTATTTCTGCCTCTTATCAGGATTAAGTCAGAACCAGACACTACCGAGTTAGATAGTCTCGGTCACGTGACTCTCAAGAGAAACTGTCTCCAACTGAGAAATTATATCCATGAGACTAGCTGTGCTGGAATTACTACTACTACTACTACTACCCCTGGTCATGGTTGAGTTGGACATGTTTAACCCGTCCTCTTTCATCCCTTGTATGTGCTGGTCAAGATTCTTTATGCGACTGGAACTAAATGGGAACGTCCACTTTTCTTGTTTATTAAAACTGTTCTTGTTATTGGCAGACGAAATTATTATTTTATTAGAGTCTAATGGAGTTTGTATTTTCCTTTCGATATCCGCCAAAACTGGAGTTAACTTGAGCAAATCTGCTGCCACTGTGTCTACGTTAGCTTCGGTTACTGGAGAACTATGGTCTTTAGAAGTCTCCTCGTCAGGGTTTTGGGCAGAATCCATTTCTGATCCGTCTGCCTTCTTCCTACCCAACGCTTTAAAAATATCTTCGTTCTTAAATCTGCAAAAGGCAGAACGATTATTCAGAATAAGTCAGCGTATATTATCGTAATGTTCTACAAGCTATTGATCTTACGTGTTATGTATTATAGTTTCGTGATGGAACATTAAATAAACTTTTTGATAAGAAAACGATCTTACTCGATGACAGGAAAATCAAAGTTTGTAGATTATCAGTTTAGTTAGAAGATACGGTGCTAGTACTGAGGGTTACCGAACAACTTTTCAATCTGTGATTAGTGAAATAGAAACACTTTAGAAATGGATTTCTGAAATCAGCTAAAGTGGGTCTATTTGCGTATAGTTGTGTAAAGTATCAACATTAAGGTTTCCGTGCAAGAAAAAGACATTAAAATTAGAAAAGCGAACGTAAGACTTATTTACATTTACAGGAAATACAGATTTTTAAGGGCCAGATGTGTCAAGCAAACTTTTAAAAGAAGTAATTTTTTTGTTAAAAGAATGCGCGACAATATTAAAAAAAGTCAATGATTCAAAAACATTACGAAGAAGAAAAGCAATAATCTTTCAGTACACTTATATTCAATATGTTTGTTTTGAACAAGCAGCAGTAGTCTTTCTCTTGAAACACCTAAATTTAAAATGCAACTCAATAGTTCATAGTTAGAGCAGATTTGAGCTTTAGTTCAAAACTATGATTTATTTCACTGTAATGTTAATAAAGTAAAGTACTTAATAACTTACCCGTGATTTTCCTCTCTGCGGCAGCAGTAAGATAAACATCTAGTTTAGTGATAAATATACGTCTTCCAGAAGAGTTTAAAATCAAATCTAACTTTCAGTCAAGCAAGCTAAAGAATTGCATCACAGTTGCTAACATTTTGGCACAGTATATTACCTACAATTCGTAAAAAATAACTCGTTTATGGGAAGTTTCCTTATTTTACATTCAACAATAACTGTTCATAATTAAAGTATCTGCGAGTATTTAAAGAAAAAAAAAGGCTGAATAATAAGAGTTTAATTAGCACCATCCGTTCTATTTATAGATTACAAAAGTCTATATCGACGTGAGTTACTTTATAATGTGTCTAAATTTCAGCATTTAAATAAACACATTTTTGTGTGTCACAAATAAGCTTTGGTACATCCTGGTGATATTTTGAATATCCGTATAAAAGAATTTTGACATTTCTTGTTATACAATTAATGTTGCACCAAATACAAGTGGTCAAATTTTGAACGTAATACAAATGACAGAAGTTGGGGACAATTATTGAAAGAAAACGATATTATTTTAACCGTATAAAATTTAGTATAGTTTGGTGTAAGTAGAAAAAAAAATGTTCTAGATTTCTTTCTTTCTGTGATATATATATATATTCGATTATACTGAGCACGTGCTCGAATACTGATGGAGGTGAAGTGAATGTTGCCTGGACGAAATGTACATCTGTGTATTATATTATCCAAAAAAGTTTTTTTTTTTATCTTTCGATGATTAATATTGTTTTCCTTCTTTAAGATTGGTTAGTCCCGGCGTTTGACTCGCAATCTGAGGGTCGCGGGTTCGAATCCCCATTACACCAAATATGCTCGCTCTTTCAGCGTGGGGGCGTGATAATGTTTGCGGTCAATCCCACTATTCGTTGGTAAAAAGAGTAGCCCAAGTATAGTTGGCGGTGGGTGGTGATGACTAGCTGCCTTCCCTCTAGTCTTACGCTGCTAAATTAGGGACGGCTAGCGCAGATAGCCCTCGTGTAGCTTTGCGCGAAATTCAAAACAAACAATTTTTAAGATTGGTCAATTATCGCTCGTGGTGAGTTTTATGGTTGTACGTAAATGAGGTTTTAAAGTGTTCTTTCTGACAAGTGAAAATCTGTTTACTGGTTTCACGAATATAAAGTAATAACAATTTTAGCAAATCACGCTGAAAACGAACCTTAGTATTTGTGTATGCTATTTAAATTTGACTTAATTTATCCAGAAAAGAAGCAATCTGAACAGGCAAAAAAATACCTAATATTTCTTTAACTAATTTCAACTAAATGTTGCGCTATATAAAAAAATTAGCATGAGTAAGGGAAAGGTATATTATTTTACATATTAACGTAAATGTTTCACTCTCGAGACGTTTTTCCTTTCTTACGTATAGGCAGATAATTGGTCATAAACATGCCTAATAGTCTGATAAAAACCGAGTGAAAAAATAAGAGCATTGTTTGTTTTAATTAGTTTGTTTGTTTGTTTTTTGAATTTCGCGCAAAGCTACACGAGGG